CCCAACCCCATAAAGGCCTTTTCTACACTCCCATTTCCCATAGCAAGACTCTCCTCTTGTTCTCTGTCTTCTGGCTTTTATTGTCTGGAATTTCTAGGCTTTACTGTTTTATTCACTTATCCAACTTCCTGGACACAGAACATACCTATATGAATTATCTTTTCTCTTCATCATCTACATTGTATAATCTAGAAAATACTCGAAATGAGATAAGAATAAAAATGATATATTTTTATTTTTATTTGTGTGTGTGCACATGCACACACACGTACACACATGTGTGTCCTGGAACCATCTTAACTCAGGGCCTGGTTGCTCTCTTAGAGCTCTTTTACTCAAGGCTAGCACACTGGATCCACAGTTCCACTTTTGGGTGGTTAATTGGAGACAAAAGTTTCAAGGACTTTTCTGTTTGGGTTAGTTAATTCTTCAGACCTCATCCTCCTGAATAGCTATGACTACAGGCATGAGCCACTGATACCCAACTTATATTTCATTTTTTAAAGAAATGAAGTCTACAGGGACCAAAATAATATAATGAACAAAATATTATGTGTGCATAAATATGAGTTTATTTGATTACATGTTTGATAACATCTATTTGGGTAAATTCAACCTATTTGGGTTATGTAACATACACCTACTGATCACTACCCTGTTTATAATCCTAAGAAGTGTTGAACCAACAATATAATGAAGAGAAATATATGAGTGTTGGGCTTGGCTTGACATACTCAAAACCTGCAGTTAGAAGGAGGAAAGGAAGATAGAAAAGGAGGGTGAATACTAAGATTGCATGGTAGAGAAAGGATTAGTTTGCAGAACTAAAAAAGGTGGTGTCTTCCATACTTCAAGAGTTTATATTAACAAGGATTGAAGAAGAATCTAAAGTTCTTTACTCTAATGTTTTATAATTATTTTGTTTAACACAGTAAAAATAGAAAGCTATAACTTAACTATTAATTTCTCTTATATCATTAATAATATGCCTTTCTTCCTTATTTTTTTAAATAAGCCTTTTTCTCTCTTAGATATTTTTAAATGATTTGAACATATGTGCTTATGTTGGTTATGTTGGTCATTGGTTATGATATTTTTTGAAAGATGTTTAAAGGAGTGGTCCTTAATAAATATTATTTATGTACCCAAAGCGCTTTTTATGTTACTTTCATTTCAAACCTAGAACAAACCATACTTAGATGGTATTTGACTAATCTATATAAAAACATATCTTTCTACTTTGGATGTTAATCACAATAATGATAAAATTATTTATTCTAAAATAAAAATGACATTCAGCATGTACTTATGTTTAACCAGAGGCATTTGATAACTGTCCCTTACATCTTTACAATAATCAGTTTATCCCTAACCTGAAAATCAATTTCATCTATTATGAAGTATCTTCCATAAATATTCTCTGTAAATCATCTTTTTATCCTAATTTAGCATCATTTTAAATATTTTCCTTATTTAAATTTCACTGAAGCAGTTTCATATTTTTCTTAATTTCTACATTAAAATATAACAATATTTAATATGACAGTTTGTGAAAAATATGTACTGAACTTCAACTAATTTTAGGGCATGAGTTTAGCTGGGCAGATATTTTTCTGCCTAGCACTTTATATGTGTCACCTTGGTTGATGTTTTAGTCAGTTTATTAAAATCAATTCATAGAAAGCAACTGGCCACGCTAATATTTTACTTGTCATTACATTTTATGAAAAAATCAATTCTCACAAGTATGTCAATAAAATTAGGTCACTGGATCCATGTACTGAAATTATAACTTGACTTTATGAAGTATTTGTTTATGCAATTGACTATTTCTATAAACAGGAGGTACTTCTGAAAGATGCATCAACTCACATAGGTTATAAAGTGCTCTTTAATAAAATAGTAATTTTTACATAAAATAGATGCCTAATGGCTACTAATCACTGTATCAGAAAACATGTTTAATTTACACGTGAAGCAAGACCAGTATATAAATGATAGGTTGTATATACTCAGAAGATTAAAACTGATGTTTAAATAAAAATTGCAAGTATCTCATTAATATTATGACTTGAAATGGAGGTTAAATTAGAATGAAAGAGATATGATTACAATTTGTGCTTTCACTTAATCAGGTAAAAATGATACAAAAAGCATGACTTATTATAGATTGATTTTTGGTTATTGAAAGAAAAAGTGAAATTGGTTAACTTTGCTCAATGCACAACTTTACAGTTACTCAAGACAACAAGAGAGATCCATCCTCTAGTGAAATTACCCTCAGTATCACGTCAGAAGGATGACTTTGTTCACTGTTTTCTATTGTCATTATTTGATCCAGGCTCAGAAGGAAGGGCTGGGATGAAAGGATGAGGGTACATGTGGGCTATTCTTTTTGACCATGAAGGATTTCATACAATTTTGTACAGATAAAGTAGAGTAACAAACTTTTACTTTGGGAATATTGTTAAGAAGAAAATTTAAATAGAAATGAAATTTGACCTCTACAAAATAACAACTTTTAAAATTTTTAATACTAATTTCTAGAAAATGAAAAATGTCTTCCCCAAAAAAATGTTACTCATACATCCAACATTTATTTTACAGTGTAAGACACTAAATTTGTATTTTACTTTAACCTTTCCATGTTGTATACATATAATATGTAATATTCTACATGAGTGATGTATAAGACAATATTTTGACTAGTTATCTATGAACCAAACTTAAGAAATATCTCTAAAACATTTACAAGAATAATATTTAGAAAGTTGATGTTAACTTTTTGTTGTGATTTTAGTATTTCAAAGTAATCTAAAAATACTATCAGGCAAAATTTCGAATCTGCCAGTTTAATCTATAAAAGGAATTGTATAATCACTTGGGATTAGCAAAAATATTTGATGACACTTTGTCTGTTTGGGTTGAAGAATTCAGTTAAATTTTACCTTACTTAACCTTTTAGTAGTTTACCTAAGCATATTCTTATAAGAGTTCCAGTAGCAATATTTTAGTGATCCTATTTAACTGATGGGAAAATTAGGCAGGAAACATTTATGAATATAAATTTAAGCCAATTGATATAAACAAACAGATTATATATATATATATATATATATATATATATATTTGGTATTCTGGATAAAGCATCACTAAATAGTAGCAAAAGTTATTGAAGTAGATAAGCAAAGAAAATATACTACAAGTGTAACAAGAGGTTATTCCTGAATTTAATATCAACATCTTCAAGGTCCTACTTTCAAATGATACATTTTAATAGGACTGCATTTTAGTCATGTGGGTATATACATATATGATTTATTCAAATTAGTTAGAAAGCCCAAGATTTACAGTGGTTGCTAAAAAATTACCTAGTCATTAAATAAAACACTATTTAGGAAAATTATCTTATTACATATAATAGTTCAAAATTTTGAGTAAACAAATCATCTGTTTAGCATTCGTAGGTAAGTATAAAACACAGGTGTTGATTTTTCCATAATCAAAGGTTGTTTCCTAGACTTATGATAAAAAATGCCAACGAACTAAGTCACCACCTTCACACTCTATTTTCTCTGAAGTAAACTATCCCTTGGTGCTTAATACCAATAGTCTCTGCAAACAAATGAGAATGTGTGAGACTGTAGACATGGCCACAGAAGTCCATGGTGCTACTCCCCTCGCTTATGTGAAATATCTTCAAAGTCACAAGAGCAATATACCGTTCCCAAATTCACAAAGCACTTCTGATTTCCTATTGCCAGGCAAAAGGTCACAGGTACGAAAGCACAGCAAACATGCCTACTGTATAGCTGAGAATTCAGTGAAAATTGATTCTGAATGGCTATTCATGTCTAAATTAAATAAAACGGGCGTGCATATTTCTAATCAAGTGTAAGGCTGCGTCGTTTGACTTGTCATCTCTCTTAGCCTCCTCCCCTTCCTGCAAAAAGTACACCCCCTCCTATGGCTTCCGTTTGTATTATTTGTAAACAGTATGTAACCCCCTCCCCAAACACATGCCAAACGATCACGTGTTAAATGGTCACACCTGCTTTATATTGGAAGTAGTAGGAGATAATCAGAAAATAAGTAACGGCCGTGTCACCCACGGCCAGTGACGGCATCTAGTCCATTAAGATATGGAAAAGAAAACTTTCATAGTTGCTTGATACTTAGTGTAAGGAGATGCAGAACAGGCAGGTGGTGGTCTGACAGAAGTACAACAGAAATCCAAAGAGATAGGTTGCCTAAAGATTTAGAAGGGACATTAGCAAATGCTCTAAGAGCTTCAAATCACTTTTCTCAAACTATTGACCTTCACTTTGACATTTTATCCACATACAATTTTCTCCAGGAAACGTGACAAGGACTTAACGAAGAAGATATTCCCAAGTAGAAAATCCACACATCACGCTTATCTACTCCCCACTGTCAAGAATTAGCAAGCTCATCACAGATCTATGACTACGTGAGCTCAGAATAATTTTGCTCAAGTGTGTACTTCATGGTGTGGATAGGCTGGCTGACAGGGTTAAGAAAGGAGGGCCGGGCCAGGGCGACCTAGAGTTACTGGAGGCCGAAGGCTGGTACTCCCAGAGTAGAAGCAGAAGCAATAATCTGCCTTTCAAGTAGGCTTGTGGGAGAATCCACATGTGACCCTGTTATGAGAGACCACCAAGAGCCAGAATTCTCCATTAGGTCTGTGCCACGAAGCTTGACCTGGGGCAAGGGGGGTGGGGGACGATGGCAATCCTGCAGCCACCGAAGACTGACCCACGTGCTGCTGATGCCCTTTGAAAAGAAATCTGGAAGCTGATGTGTGGGGCCCTGGAGCCCTGGGGTCCTGGATGGAGCAGAGCGCGCTGGTTTCAGGGAATATCCTCGATCCCCTCAGGTGGCGAGCCCAGAGAAACTGAGTCAGGGCGAAGTTAGCAGCCTGGAATCTTCTAAACACCCTCCTGCCCCTCGACCCTTACCCCACCCTGCCCCTTCCTTACCTTGGTTGGTGGAGACGTGACTGCAGTCGCCCGGCCAAGCTGTCAGCAGCGGCAGAAAGAATCCAAATTGCAAAAGAAATTCTAGGACTTCGCAGCCCCCCATGGCTCTCCCAGGCTCTCTTCTCCCCTTTAAAAAGAAGTGGCAGCGACGGAGCCAAGTGTTCCGCGGGCAGTGGAGGTCCTGCTCCCCGTCTTCCTCCTCCTCCTCCTCTTCTTCTTCCTCTTCTTCCTCCACCCGGCCCGCAGGGGGTGTCCCGGGGCGCCCCCCGCGCGAGGCCCCGGGAGCAGGGCACAAGGGTCCAGGCTGCCCAGGTGCCTGCTCAGCTGCTGGGGAAGAGGTCGGTGCCTGCGGCGCCAGGGAGCTCCTGGCGGCTGGAGGCGAAGGGAATTGCATCCACCGCCGTGTCCCGCTCGCGCGAGGACTATTCACTTGGGCCCGGGAGAGCGCGCGCGCAGGAGCGAGCGAGCGAGCAAGCAAGAGGAGCTGGGGCTGTGGTTTGGGGGAGGGGCGCAGGGGACGTGGTGGGGGGAGGGAGAGGGAGGGACCAGCAGGTGCCACGGGCACTCGGGGCGGTCCGAGCGCCTCCCTGGACACAAGTGGGCACTTGGAAAGCCCAAAGGAGAGGAGGCACAGCTGAGGTGCAGAGGCGCCTGGGACGCGAGAACTTTCCTCTGGCCGCTGGTGCGGGCACAGTTGGGCAGATGGGGTGGCTCGGCCAGATCACGAGTGGCCGGGGCGATCGGCGGGCTGCACCCTCAGCCCCTCGCCTGGGTGGCAATCGCGGGAGCTGGCATTACGGATAGGGCCGCGTCTGTGCCTCGTGGGGGCCATGGGATCCACTTCGGCATCTGGGAGGCTGAAGTCTCCTCCGAGCACTGAGCTCCGGGTTGCAATCCTCAGCGCTGACCTGATGAAGCCCAGTTTTCTGCGGACGCTGCCGCCGCCGCCGCCGCCGCCGCCGCCGCCGCTGGGGGCCTGAGGGGGGGGGTTGCTGGTGCGGTGGGCCAGCGCTCCAGGTCCCGACACGGCTCGGTGGCAGAGGCTTAGGGCCGCCCAGGCGCCCAGGCGCTCTGGAGTGCCACGGTCACCCCAACTTGCCCGCTAAGGGAGTGCGATTCCGTTTTCCTGGGGGCGGGGAGGAAGGGGCGCCCCGGCGGCTTCGAATCCGAGGAAAGCCAGAAGGAGGGAGGAAACGGCCAGGGGGGAGTCACGCAGACTGAGAAGCGGCGGGTGCCTGGCTCTCAGGCTCGCCCAGGTCTTCACCTCGCCTCGCGGCTGTGTGCCTTCGCCTTGGAGGTCACTAGCGTCTTGGGATTCCCGGCGGGGGAGGGGGGCGGGGATGGTCTCGAAGTCTCCAACACCCCTGCGGAGCGGCGGCATCGGACTGTGCGCTCCAAGCAGCTCCAGAGAAGAAAGACACGCGCCGCGCGTGGCCAAGTCCACCACCGCTGCGCCCTAGGCGCGGCGGGCGGACGGTCCGCACTCGCAGGCAAGGCGCCCACTCCCCACCCCGTGCTCCCAGCAGCGGGGCTGGCTACTGGAGGGGACCCCGCCCCTGCGCCTGGGCCACCAGACTTGACGTTGGGGAGGAAGTCTGCAAGGCGTCTGCAATCCCCATCCCCTACTCCGGACTTTCTCTCCTGGCTCCCAGGGTGGGCACCTAGGCCAAGGGCTAGATTACAGCAGGAGCTTGGCTAGGAGCTTGGCGGAGCCTGGCTGACTATCCGGCCTGGCTGCGGCGGCGGCTCCGATGCTCTCTGTCGGCGCTAGAGGGGGATCGTGGACAACAGAAATTCCTCCTTGGCTCACAGGTGCGAGCAGCTAAAGGAGAACTGCTAGGAAGCTTTCAGGCTCAATGTGCTTAATAAGGGCACGCGGTGGCACCCCTATTATCAGTGCGGGGACTTTTGTCATGTATTCGTGTTGTCATGTGTGCGTTCTCTTTCTGGATGGGACCTAGGCTGTTCCCAGTCGAGTGCAGTAGGAAAGCTCATCTCAGACCTCCACAGAATGTTTTGAAGAATGGGGAGAATAGTGAATCCATAAACTGGGGGTGGGGGAAGTGAAGGGGGGGCAGCTGTATTAGGAAGGGTAGGCGATATTTTCCAAGTGTCACTGTACAGTACAAGAATCGCAGAGTAGCAGGAGTCGTGGACGCGATAGATTGAACAAAGGGCCAACATTTGAGAAGAATTCTGGAAACAAATCACTTTCTTATTTAATAGTTCCAGTGCTTAGATGTTTGTGTTTCCCCGACAGCCTTGCAGTCAATCCAATGGAAAAAAGAGGGCAACGTCTAAATCTCTGCTCCCATGGAAAGAAACGTGATAAGCAAGCGATTTCACGATTAGCAGCTGTCCTGATTGGTGACTGTACTCTCAAGCTCGTTACGAATTCATACACAGTTTCCCTTCCAAGGTATCCAGGCCGATTTAAGTGTAAAGAAATCACTTCTAACAAGATAATCACGTGTGGAGTTTACACACATTAGTACTTAAAAGGGTAAAATCTGATTTCGCTAGTCATTTGATCACTGCTATTTGTCACTGACTGACCACAGGAGTTTTTGCAAAGTCAGTTTGGTTTGCAAACTCACTCGTAAAATAAAAATCTACTTTAGGACCACTTTGCTATACATACTTATGGCTAAGTAATGTGTTCACTAATGTACAATGGGTCATTATATCAATGACGTGAGTCAAAGTCAGCTGTTTTGTATATTGTAAAATAATATATTTACATGACCGTTAAATTTTTCTTTTTTAAAATGATGACATGGTGAATCATTTGTATAGGATTCATTAAAGGTCACTAAAAATCATATTTACATTTCTGTAAATCTTACACATATACAGTATATACATATATGCCGATAAACTGAAGGAATGAATAATACTGTTATGTTAGAATATAAACAATGTTAAATTTGTGAATTAACTTTACTTGTGGGATGATTATAAATGAAAAGTGACCTTAGCATAAAGTATTTTACGAGAAACTTCCCTCATTTTGGCATTTTCTTTGAGTATTACTTTTAAAAGAACTTACCGCACATGTAATACAACCAAGAAACTTGAAACCACACCACAAGAAAGTGGTTCTCAAGGAAGGATGGAAGGAAGGAAGGAAGGATGGAAGGAAATAGGAAGAAAATAAGGAAGAAGGGGAGGAAGAAGGAAAGGAGGATAGAAGGAAGAAAATAAGAGAAAGAGAAAAAGGAAATTTAGGGGACATTTCTGGAATTTTGCTTAGTTAAAAATCAAAGTACAGTGTCTGAAAATTTGATTGTCTCTTCAAAGTAACAATAACATCTGATTAAAACAAATTTTTCTCCTTCCCTTACTGTACCTAAAATTTAGCTAGTAGTCACAATTTGTTTAAGCCACAGTTAAGCTTGTATGCATTACCTGGTCAGAAGACTGTTAGTCTTATCTAATGCTCTTTCTAAGAGAAAAAATAATTGTACCTTTTTCTCAGCATTTAAATATGCATTAGTATATTTAGATATTTTCTATTTCATGTTTAGAACATAAGAACACCTTAAGTAAGAATCCATCTGAAAAACTAATTAAAATATAATTATTTTAATCTTTGGCCATAGCAAGATTCCATGACTACGAATTTTATAACATGTTAATGAAATTTATTAGTATAGCAATTTAATATTGGTTACATATTATGTAGATGCACATATAAAATATGATTATATATTTTATAACATTTTGTTGAACTTAGTGTGCTCAATCTTGTGCAAGTGTAATAAAAATAATTGAATACAAATAATTTAGTATAAAAACCTACTGTTTAACTTAGTCAAAATTACCTGATGTTAACTAGAAACACTTGCACTTAACAATAATGTACTTACTTTTGAATTCCTAGCAGTTTTGATATATTTGGAGGCATGTGACAGATTCAAATTATAAGCCACTCAATGAACCACATACAGTATTTATGTAGATTTATCTGCACTTGTCGGTTTGAATGATACCCATATTCAGAAAATCTTTCGGGTCTCATTTTTCAGAGCTATGTAACTCAGCCTCTTTTGTCTTTCCTTAAACCAGTGTCTTCATGACATATGTGTGATCTGGATGCAGGTAAGATGTGATTTGTTAAAAATTATACATGTATATCAATAAATCAATAAAATGTAGTCGAAGTTTTCACTCAGTAGAAATAATAGCATTCACAATGCTGTTTGTTTTGTAAAATGATGAAAAGGAAAGAGACTTAACCAGCAATTAATTCCTTTGTGGAAAAAACAAGAAGGATTATTATGCTTAATACCCAGCATGTTTGAAGGCTTCAGAAAATCTCAAGCATATTATTGGGCTAGAAAAATAAATTAATCCATTTACAAAAGTAATTTGCATTCTCTAAGGTCAAGAGAGAAGAAACATAAATAAAATGATTGTTGATCTTGGAAGATGTCAAGCTATCAGAACTTAAAAGATTATGTTTGTACACCAAACATAATTGAATAAGTCCTTATTCTTAATATAAAACTTATAGGCATGCTGTGTAAAATAGCATTGTTTTCATCACATTGACTTTACAAATAAGTTAATAATTAACTTGTACATGTTTTATTATCATGCAAACAATTTAAATAAAATGAATCTGCTAAACTTAAAAAAAGGTTGTGCCTTTCAGAAAATGTATAATGAATGGAATGTACATGTATTCAGATATTAGGAAGAAGTTAAAATTTTTTTTTGAAAAAAACCTCCAAAATTTAATTTGTTGACCCATCAAATTTATAAAATGTTCAGAGAAAATGCAACTTGAAGTTCCATAGACATTACTGTGGTTGATTCCACTGTGGTAACTGCATTCTGCTTTTTAAATTTTATGATGGAGAGAGAAAAAAGATACACACACCATGTGTGTATAATACATGTGCTCACCTGTAATCCAATGCAAATACAATACTACAAATTCTCTACTTTTAATTTCTAATTTCTGCAATCTATTACAAGAATGAGTTTCACCTACGTGTATGTCAAGTACTAAGAATGCACAAGAGTCATGGGAGCTGAATTCTACTTTTGAATAGGTTAATATCGCCAAGCACAAAAATATGGATTATTTCAATATTAATTCTTTTTGGAGCTCTACATTGTGTAGCTAGTTATACAGAAAGGAATGTGCCCATATGTTTTAATGCATGGATTTCTACAGTTAATGCTTTTATTTGATTTAAACAGTTTTGATATAGATCAGTTCATCCTCTGAAGGATAGTTCACAAACATTTACTAGCATTAAGTATGATACTAAAGGTTATGTCCAATGGTTAAACAATTCAGCTCTGTTCAAATGTCTTGCATTTTTAATGAAGTTGACTTAATATTTGAGGACATCAGATATTCACAAAAAGCAATTTACTTCAATTATGAAGACCATCGAAAAAATCACATTTAAATTTA